GCATTTTTTAGTTTGAGGTAAAGTATAATAATTTTCGCCTGGTGATGAACTTTCATACTATCGACACCAGATGCTGACAAATGCAAGCGAGGACGCGGACGGTTCCGAGGTAATATTGTTGACTTTTGGTGTCGGGGCGGACGACCGCGTGGAACGTGAGTGAATTTACCGAACTACTGTTGTAAACTCAGTTTAAGCGGTTGAAAATTATCCAGCTGTATTTTATCAACCCTGAAAGACATATTTTATTTGGATGCTAGCTGTTTAGCGTTGCTTTAAAGGAGCGTCATGAGCGTGGTTTTTGCCTTCGGTATTTTTAAGCACGATCGTTTTGGGGGAATTTCTTTTATGCAGGTCGCCCTGTGTGGCTTATTTATAATTTTTATGCTGATTTTGATCATTTCTCGTGCCCATCCTACCAGGCTTTTTGCCACTTACACTCATTAAGAAAGGAAAAAAGTAGATTTTTATTGGGACTAGGTGTTTTGAGAGTGAAACACTTCAGCGTTCCCATTTTTGGATACTTACTTGTGCTCGTCAACTATCAGTGTTAAACAGACAGGTGTTTTACATGCCTCCATCCTCGGCGCGGACGGTGTATATAGGCATGGAAGACCTTGTTGAACATCGCTGAGCGTTGTGAATTAGGTACGTAATCCTGCAGAGGGGGGCGTGCCCGCTGCGGGATCGACGGGAATAAGAGCGCAGTAGACCCGGCGAAACATGCGGCGGTCTTGCCGGAAAGGTCATCTTATGATTGTTGCGTTAACAATAACCTGCGGCGTTGGACGTGATGCTTGTTAATGATAAGAGCCCGTGAAAGGCGTAGGTGAAATCGTTCCCAATTTTGGGTACGCCGTTCCTATAATAAGGATCGCTTGCAGCGCCAGTGTACGAGAGCGTTCCCAAATTTGGGCACGCGGCCCGGGCGGTGGACTGCTTTAGAAATAGAGGAACGATTTGAAGCTACGATGGGCCTTACAATATCAAACTCTTTCCCAACAATATTGAGACAAATATCAGGCGGTTCACGATCGTTTTATTTTTTTGGACGTCATTTCACGGTTCTTCTTCTTGTTTTAAACAATGCCTACATGGCGTTCCCATATTTGGGTTTATCGTTCCCAAACATGGGAACGAAAATGCGTTCCCAAAAATGGGCACGCTTGACCATAGCTCAGCCTACTGAACAGTCTTTCGCCAGAAAATTATGCGGCCGCCCTGCACCGAAAAATTCAGCCGCCAGCCCGCCGCCATGCGCTGAATTTGGCACGTACAAAGTGGCGCTAGTGTAGGGGAATAAGCAGTGTCCTATCCAGGAATACTTCATCCATAATACTTCAAAGGTACACCTATACTGCCTTGGGTACACCGGTTGAAATTTGCGAGGCAGTAAAAAGAGACAATATCGACGCATTCATCAATGCCTGTTTTTTGGCAAGGAACGTCCCAAATAGCATCATACCAAAAAGAAAATAATAAATGAGTGATAATTGGCATAATGCGTGCACAAGAAACGCAGATTTTCATAACAGATAACCAATAAATGCAAAACAATCGTGAAACCTCCTCACACAATCGCCGCAATGGCACGTTATTTACGTTGATAGATATGACAATTCGGAGCCTACATTTGATGACGTCATCAGTTTAGCTTCAGGTAAATGCATTTTTTAAAGAAAATAAATGCTAAATGACGTTTAGATACTTAAATCGCTCTTAAAAAGTGTTCTGGTATTTAGAAAAACAAAAATAAGATTAAAAACAGGTGCAAACCGATCAAACAGAAAAGACTGGAGTGTCGGCCTGTGACATTTTTATCTAAGCCTGTGACGTATTGATAATGTTATTGAAAACATCTTTTGAAATTATCATTTCCTTGACCATTCAGTTCAAGGATTCAGTTCCACAAAACCAAACCAAAAGGACGAGTTTGGGGGAGCTCACGCTGATAGGCCGCGAGTTGATAGTAATTCATTTTAATTTGATCGACCCTGCGGTTATTTTACTATCAAGCTTATACTCAGAAGATACAAATACAAAAGAAGATACAGAAGATACAAAACGCTGGAAAACGTAGGAAGTGTATGGTTGGTATTCAAATGGAATTGCATGATATAGAGGATTCTTCATGGCTCCGAGTGGAAGATAAGGATATCTTTTCCAAGCGGGTTACTGAAAAACCGAGCGATGAAGGAGCGAGTTTTTTTTGGAACACTGACACGCGAGGAAAAGATATCTGATCTTCCATGAGTGAGCCATGAGGAATCCTATATCTTTCTACGTTGAGGTTTATTCTTGATTTATTAAACATTATATTTAAATGTTCTAATCTATGGAAAAATAGATTTAGAGTACTTTGTTTTAATATTTCATAAGTTTCACACACAAACAACCATTAAAAATGGTTTGATTATTGACCCAACCCATCATCACTTGAACTCTTGATTTTTAGCTATGAACCCTCGAAACCTTATCTTTGCATCTCAGAGGAGTGCGAGATAGAAATATCCCTGCACTGTAGACTCAATGGCAAATAAACCTCAACTAGAAAGATATTTGAATGCTTACCATACCAGTAGATGCTTACCAGTAGATGGAAATAGAGGAGACATGTGAGCTCAGGCTCATAAAGCCTGCCTCCATATTAGGTACTGGTCATAGTTGTATTTGAATGTGTTGACACTTTGACTATTTACAACTCTTTCCGGCAGTCGATTCCACAGGTTCACTACCCTGGTTGAGAAAAAATTGGCATCGTTTCCAAGTTCTGTGTAGTGGTTTGGCAAGCTTCAGGCTGTGTCCCCTGGTTCTCCTTGTTCTGTTTTGTGCCAGAAAATTACCATCAACACTGATCTTGTCAAAACCTTTGATGATCTTGTAAAGTTCAATGAGGTCACCTCTCCTTCTCCTTTCCTCCAGGGTGGTGAGGCTCAGATAGGTCAGCCTGTCTCTGTATGGCATGTGGGCAAGTCCAGGAATGAGTTTTGTTGTTTGAATGAAACATTCAGAACAGAATCAAGAAAACCTATGAATTATTTATCAAAGAACCTTTTAAAGTTAATAATTTTCAGGCCCCCAATAGTGGCTCATGTTTTGAGCATGATACAAGGCTGTCCCAGGGTCATGGCCATGCAGGAGTGTCCTTGCTGGAGGCTGTTGTACTCATTCAACTCAGCCCAGAGCCCCAGACTGGAAAAAATATATGTTATGCCGAATATGTCTGGCGTAGTGGCGGGATTGCGCCAAAAATTTCAGAGTACATCCGGCGTAACATAATATGCGCCAAATTCAGTGCATGGCGGTGGCTGAATTTTTCGGCGCAGGATGGCAGCAGAATTTTGACGAAAGACGGTCACCGAATTAACACTGCATGCGATGTGATGTCTCTGGACGACAAAGATGCTACGTCGTCCGGCCAATCCCGTTCAAGGTCAGCTGCGGTTATGGAACGTGATTGGGCGGACGACATAGAATCTTCGTTGTCCGAGAGACATCAAACGCGGTGTAAGTTTGCACGCTGGTCAATCTAGCAGCAAATTCGCCCTGCGGTGGCTCTGGAGAGGCTTCGGGATGAGATGTCCCCGCCCCAGTCGTCACATGCTCAAACTGGCGAGCCGCTTTGAGTCTACTCAGCGGAAGAGCGGCTGCCAGGTGAGGCCTCAACCCTCTGCATTGAGATAGGTATGGAAGACCTTGTTTAACATCGCCGAGCCGGAGCGCTGTTAAATAGTACTGCAGTGTGTTCCTGCCCACTGCGGTATCAAGGGAAATGAGAGCGCAGACGACCTGCGAAACAGGGGGCCGCCCTGCCTTCAAACGCCCGCTCGTTGACCATGGCGGTTCATTGTGTGGCCTAGCATCAGTGGCGTGACAACGGGTCCGAGTCACTATTCAAGCCACTCCTCGGGAGCACGTCGCCGCTCTCTATCCCTGGGGAGGACCGAGAGGATGCCGTTTCGGTGCATCATATGAGGGCGGGCCACTGGGGCCACTCGCTCCAGTACGTGCTCCGAATCGGCTATCTCCACTCCGCGGCGTGCCAGCAGTGCCCACTGCCCAGACAGGCGGTGCCCCGCGGCGCTCTGCGCCGTGAGCCGGAAGAGACTGCTGTGTCGGAACACGTGCTGCTCTGCTGCCCGAACCTCGCTGGCTCCTGCCAGCCTCGAACACACCGCTCCGCCGATTTTTGTGGCCCCGGAATTTCCTGCTCCGGCCCTGTTTCACGGCACGACGCTACATGAGTGCGCTAAGCTTATTGATAATTAAGGTATTGGTTTTTCGCGGAAATGCAACTTGTTTGGACGCTCAAACATGGGGAAATGTCCAAGGTCCCGGAATACTGTGTCTGGCTGATTTAGCCTTGATTTGTAGATGTGCACATGTGCTTTATATAAAAGGCTTAATTTTGGCACAAATAGTCACCCAATTTTCGCTGCAGATCATGCAGAAATTTTAGCGCAAAATTGCTTGTGCCGAATTTCGGCGCAAGAGGGTCTCAGGCGTCCGGCGACCGGCGTAGTGTATGGATGTTTTCCAGTCAGGCATCCCTCTGACCTCTCTGAGTTCTTATTGGTCTCTTATCTGTGAACAACTTAACCTTCAGTTTTTATTTTATTTCTCAGTTGTCAGGCAGCCACGTGCTGAATGCTTGCAGAGGCAGAGAGGCTGAAATTATCCAAATATGGGTGATGACTACTGACAAACCGACACCTATGGTCTATGGGCTGTTTGGAGCATACTATTTTTTTTTTAACTTTCCACCTTGGTAAATTAACACCTGAATAAGATTATCGTGGGACTCATCGCGCGTCAATGGTCACACCAGTAAGCAGGGCTGCGGATTCGATGGCTTTTCGGTGACTGCGACTCAGACTCAGGCTTTCAAAAACCAACTCCGACTCCGACTCCGGGCAGAACTGTCGACTCCGACCGACTCCAACTCCGACTCCGCAGACCTGGCTGCCGGCTGGGCTGCGGAGTGCATAACTAGTCGACGAGTTTTCGGTGACCCCGACTCCGACTTCGGTTTCCAAGTCCGACCTCGGCTCCTGTCAGAACTATCGACTCCGACTCCGACTTTGCAGTCCTGCCAGTAAGTATCAGCATTGCCACATTCTTAACAAGATGGTTTTTCTTTCTATTTATTTTTTCTAATTTTGTTGTTTGCCCTCAGGTATGGCTGCCGTGGGACCACGTTTCTTCGCACTTCTGCTGGTGGCATCTGTTTTTGTCTTCTACCTCACAGTGATAAATTATGAAAACAGACTCTCAGCGCTTCAAAGCCGCCTGACATATATTGGTGAGCTATTAAAAATTTAACTTTTAAAACGATTTACATTTTACACAAATGTGTACGTCGACGCGCTATTATTTGCTGTCTCGATTAAATAGGTAGGTATTCTAGATCATAGACCCCTGTTATCGGTGTGCAGAGGCCTGTGCTAGGATTTTATCGAGCACATCTCAGATTTAATCTTGACTAAACTTAGCATGAGTTTTATCGAAATATACATATTGCTTGGTTCATCTTTGTTAAAATATTAGCATGTACGAAAGATAGGTACGAACTACGAAGAACGGTAACGGGAAACGGAATAAACAAAACATTAATCCGCATACAGTTAGAAGGCCGCATTCACCCGGACCTCCCTCCTGCTGCAGTTACACGAGAGAGTAAACACTCAGCTTTGTGAAGTATGACAGTACCACCGAGTCATTATGTTCCCAGAGCGTCGTTTGGCCACGCCGGATGCGGACGCTGCCGAGACGGTCGGGGATGAGACAGTGGTCATCTACAACCGGGTGCCCAAGACGGGCTCCACGACCTTCATGGGCATCTGTTACGATATCTGCGAGAAGCAGGGATTCAACGTCATTCACCTCAACACGTCCAAAAACGCCCACGTCATGTCGTCAGTGGATCAGGCAAGAGTCGGCTTCATTCAGTGATATTTCTCAATTTACTGCACTTTCCGTTCACTGTGGCATTTGTTTTGTATTATGCAGTAGTAATTGAGATTGTTTCTTTGACTGTTTTGGTGTGTTTGCGCTGCCATGTGAAAATACTCTGTTGTAACTTTTTGCTATTTTCTGTTACACAGATGGAGTTTGTCACCAACATTACAACGTGGAAACAGCGTCTTCCAGCGCTCTACCATGGCCACATTGCCTTCATCGACTTTGCAGCGTAAGTCTCTCTCTCCACTGCCCCGACCTGCGTCATTACCATCTGACTAGAGCCGGGCCTAGCCGGCAGTATCTGCGGGTGACACCGGCTTTACAGGCCAGCATAACAATGAACTAGGATAATTCCACGGCCCGATATGCCCTAGCGTAGCGTTATTTGTGGTTTGTGAGCGATGATATAGCGACATTTATGAGTAGCACGGGATATTGTTCGGTGCCGCTCTCGTGGTGCGATTCTGTTGTGACCGATTTATCCGATCTTCTGACCGTTCTCCTGGCCCAGGTTTGGTGTGCAGCGGCGGCCGATATACGTGAACCTGATCCGGCGACCGCTGGACAGGCTGGTGTCCCACTACTACTTCCTGCGATACGGAGACGACTTCCGACCGCACCTAGTACGAACGCGGGCCGGAGACACGGAGGTTAGTACAGTCAGCCGGGGGAGACAAACGGGTGAGCTGAGTCAGCCGGGGAGACACACGGGTGAGCCGAGTCAGCCGGGGAGACGCGGAGGTGAGTTCAGTAGGCTGGGGAGACGCGGATTTGAGACATCGGTGAGTCCATACAGATTTGGAGACGTCGCGGGCCGGACACAGAAGTATGTTGGGGAGACGCGTGCTGGAGACAAGGGTAAGCCGGGGAGACGCGGGCCGGCTGTCAGCTCCGTCACATAGCTCTGTCACAGGAGCTGTTGGTGACTCGTCGTGGATTGTTTGCACTCGTGGACACATTGTCACTCCTGACACGTGGCTCAGTTATGTTTACTGCCCACTTAGTATGCATGACTATCGCAGCCTGGGATTGTGCTCTGGTAGCTTATTCTCGCGGTCGCGACGCCATATAATTAGCATCTGTTCGGGAAATATCGTTTTTCACGCGGTGACTATGTTTTTCATACGCTCATTTGCGTTGGGTGTGATGTATTTCATTTACCTGGCATTCCTGCTGATATTTTTGAATACTCACAACGACGTCTCCTACTTTTTTCTCTCTCTCTCTTCACCCCCAAAAAGGAAATTGTTGCGTATAACGTGTTTCAAACATGGGCAAAACGACGCACGTTGCTAGACGGTTCTGGTGGCTGGCTTCATCAGCCTGAAAGCATTGCCGGCCTGGATAAGCCCGGGTCGGCTCAGTTACACGCCCACTGCACGGCCTCCTTTCATCCCCCGCCGCCGGCTGTTCCGCGCGCCCTGTGACCTTTGCCGACCCCGCCCGGTCGGTCTGTTTATGTCAGTTATGCACCGCCGCCCTCCGACTCTAAATGTATGTAGTCCGGGACTGATAGTCGTGCCCAAGTGCCCAGCGGGTGGGTGTCGTGTCCGTCTCTTGTTAGGGACGGCACCCGGCTGGTGACGAAATGAGATGAACGATGAGACCGGCTAAATATACTTGCGACTGTTTTGGAGGACTGGATGATTTTTTCCCGTAGAGCCGTAGATGGTGCCGTAGCGGCGGGCCGGTATTGCTTGTCTCACCCAACGGCAGTCCATCTCACATGCTACGTATCTGTCGGCTCATTCGCCAGTCATTGTATTTTTTCGTCTTGTGTCTGTTTTTTCTTTTAGTTTTGTCTTATCTTTCAAATGAAACGTCATGTTGCTGTCTGCTGACTTTGCGGCGTATTCCGCCTGTTTGCAGACATTTGACGACTGTGTGCGACTGAACCACTCGGACTGCCAGCCTCGGCTAATGTGGATTCAAGTGCCCTTCTTCTGCGGTATGGCGGCATTCTGCTGGTGAGCATCCCGCTCTGATCAGCGTGAGACCGTCTGAGTGGTATCATCTCATACGAGTGCTCTGCTTGATAATGATGTGAACACTACTCTAGATACATAGCTGGTCACATAATGGTCCCCATCAAGGCGCCACTGCTCCAATATTTACCAACTAACCACTGATATCAATATCCCCGGCCAGTCGCCCGATAAACGTATGTGTGCACACTGCATTGACCGTCTCACCTAGCTGTTCCACGCTGACTTATTGACCCCCGCAGGGAGCCGGGCAGCCGGCAGGCCCTAGAGGCGGCCAAACACAACCTGGTGCACCACTACCTACTGGTGGGCACCACCGAGCGACTGCCAGAGTTTGTCGCCCTGCTGGAGGCGCTGATGCCCAGCATGTTCTCCGGCGCCAGCCGCGCACTCGAGAAAGGTACGGAATTGTGAGCCGCTGGAATATTCGAAATGGTTTTCAAGCATGGGGGAGGGTTGAACCAGTAATTGGTGTGCTGCTTGGTAAGAACAAATCGTGCGCGATCGGTGTGGCATTTGGCTACGTTGGTGGATGCTCTACCATGGATTCGACTATCTTCAGCTCAATGGATAGTCATGCTGAAAATGAACCCCGCTGATTTACCGATATTTCGGTGTTTATGTGAGCATCCGAGTCGTTTATGCTATATCTACGTCACTTGTTGACCTTACGATATTTCGTCACTTATTAACTTACCGTTTGTTGCTCCGTGCAGGTGGAAAGTCGCACCTGCGCAAGACGCAGCGGAAGCTGGAGCCGTCGCCGGAGACGAAGGCGACCATCCAGGCGTCGGCGGTGTGGAAGGTGGAGAGCGAGTTCTATCGGTTCGCCGAGCAGCAGTTCAACTTTGTCAAACAGAAGACGATGGTGGCGGCGCCCGGCGGCCGGCTGCGGCCCAGGCCTCGCGCCTACCACTACGAGAAGATCCGCCCCAACAAACCCAAGTAGTTGACGAGGCGCCGGGCTGTCTCTCTGAGGCGAGCTGGGAGTCTAAACCGTCCTTTGAAGCTGGGCAGGGCCCGTTGTTAGTTGTTGCTCTGTGGCTGTTCATTGTTCTCACACCGAGAGGAGAGAGGCCCAGTAGCGGCCAACGCTGACTGTTGTTGGCACCAGTGAAATGGTCTCCACTGAGGCATTCCTGCAGGTGGATGGCCCACGGCGGACGGACGCGGCCCCGGGGACTTTCAGCTGTGAAATGGCATTCGGAACGGTGCTGCCACGTTAGCAGCGGTGCAACACAATCGTTCCTAACGCGACCGGCGTGGCCAGGGTTCCTCCGGACCTGTGCAATGATTCAAGTGACTCGGCCGCTGATGGCACTCAATGACATCCGTCAATCAAACGGAGCAAGCCTACTAGAGAACGCTCAAAGCGTTCGACGCAGCGGCCACGTCGATGTGACTATGGTGACTTGGGTCTGTGACTTGGGTCTGCTGCTGAAGACTGCCGTTTGTCGCCGTGTTGAGGGGCGTCCGGAAAGTTGTGTCGCGTGCTTGTGTTTTCAGCCTTGCCCACGCTGTGGGTGTCGCGCTCGGCGGGCGGCAGGATCGGGGAAGACGTCTTCCAGTTATCACTCGTCGCCTAATGTGTGATATGACCATTGGAGCATATGGAGGGCATTGTGGAGTTTTAGATTAATCGTGTTCAGATAATATGCGGCAGACAGGGTAGTATTGGTATCGCTGCATACATTGCGCTGGACAATTGTCTGAAAAGGCAACTTTCCTATCTATTTATAATGCTATTTAACTTGTAATATTTAAACACCTAATTTTAAAATTTTATAGTTGACGTAATGTGGCCAACGCCATTTTATTATTTAATATGTAACTTGTAGCTCAATTGGATTGTCATTAGTTCTCATTCAAAGTCAAAATATTTGATAAGGCAGGTTACTAGAGTTTTTGTGGTCATTCATACCTATTGCACATTTTCTTTGTACATATGAATTTTATGCGTGACGTTTCGCATAGGTCGCATGAGTTTTGCTATGTGTGATCAGGTGGTTATTGTTGTGTATATTGGAATTTAAAACGTGACCTTGTGTTAATTTGATTGAAGTGCCTGGCATGAGCATGCATTATTTATCAATTATTTGATGCTACCGCCCCCCGTAGTTATATATTTGAACCTTTCCTTCTTGAACGTTTAACTTTACATTCGCTCTCCGCTGGACACTTCCTTATTTTTGAACAACAGTGCCTCCGTTTGCTATCACTTGGTGTCTGTTTTGACTGCGCCTGGCGTCGTTTGCCGCTGTGCCAAAGCTCTCCTGCCTGTAGCGAGTGGCTCCTAGTGCACAGGGTACCCTGTTGGGACCACACCGCCGCCGACTGCGGGATCCGGGACGAAGGGCGCTCCGCTCCTCGCTCCCGTGGTGGCCGGGGTGCCCCATGTGCGACAGCCGGCGGAGGGCCGCTCGGTTAATGGGTGGAGAGACCCGGTGTGTTGTACCGTGTGAAGGCGGCACGATGCTGGCCGCGAGAGCACCAATGTGATTTGTTATCAGCCCCTGTGACGCAATGTTAGTCCGAGAAGTTTGTGCCGAGGTCCGCAACTGGCGAAGACGCTTAATATATACAAACGTGATTGGTTACTGTTGGCTGTCTGCAAACCTGTAATGGTTCGGCATATTAGTGTATGATATCAGCGAAGCGTAAACTTCTCCAGTCCGATTTCACAGCTCACTGGATAAGCGCTGCTGCCTCTTAGGTATGATTGGACACGTGCCTTCCAAGTTCTAACGCGCCTTAACATTGAGTAGTTATTGCCGAGTTACGATAGATTTGGCGTTGGCAGTCTTAGTAACCACAAAAAAACGAAATGTTTTCTATCAAAACCACTCAAACATGCGGTCCCCGCGCTTCCCTAAGATGCCGAAGCATTCAACACAATGTAACGTGTATTTGATTTCAACAGCCTGGCGAATCGTTCCGCGTCGTTCACTCCGGACTCCGGAGTATGGTCCGTCACTCGGCACGCGGCACACGGGGGCAGTGGCGAACTGAGGCAGCTGCTCGGCGGTCATTGCACTCGTCCGGAGAGGGGGCACTACTTGGTCTTCTGCTTCTTCCGTGCCTGGTGCAGCTTTTCGGACCGCTCCTTGGCCTGCTCGTACAGCTGCACCAGCTTGCCCTCCTTGGCCAGGATCTTTAGCAGCTGCGGGTGAGCAGTGAGCACAGAACGTGAGACTAGGGCTTAGCGGTCTCAGACAGACTTTTGGGCGCGGTTAGACGAAGGTCACGACACGACATTCTTACACAAAACTCTTCGAGCAAGTGGCTGGCCAAATGCAATCTTATTACAGACTTCTATTTTCAAGAGCAGAAGCTCTACAAAAAGTAAAAGCCCGCGGTTGGATTGCTACAGCGCAGTTCAGCCTGTGCGCGTCCGTGGCAGAGCGTAGGGCGCTCAGCTCGCGTATGCGGCTCACCTCCATGATGAACGGTATGTAGTTGTGTTTTCGGCGGATGTTCTCGGTGCGATACCTCTCCATCTTCTTCTCCTCGTCTGAGATCAGCATCTGGACTCGGGCCATCTCCGACTGTATCGAGTCCGTCTCCATCCCACCCTCCTGTAACGACAGAGCAGCATTACGGGCCATCTCCGACTGTATCGAGTCCGTCTCCATCCCACCCTCCTGTAACGACAGAGCAGATATACACTACAGGCCATCTCCGACTGTATCGAGTCCGTCCCCATACAACCCTCCTGTAACGACACAGCGGCATTACGGATTACCTCCGACTGTAACGAGTCCGTCTCCATCCCGCCTTCCTGTAACGACAGAGCCACCCCACCCTCCTGTAACGACAAAACAGATATTCGGGCCTTCTCCCGACTGTATCGAGTCCGTCTCCATCCCACCCTCCTGTAACGACAGACATCCCACCCTCTTGTAACGACAGAGACATCCCACCCCCTTGTAACGACAGAGCAGCATTACGGGCCTTCTTCGACCGTATCGAGTCCGTCTCCATCCCAAGCTCCTGTAACGACAGAGCAGTATTACGGGCCATCCCTGACTGTGTTCAAAACGTAAAAATTCCGGTGTTTTGCAACCCGGCCGAGAGTCTGTTCCCGAATCCACCACCCGTCGTCTATAATGCACAGCTTATGATGATCTGCGTCTATGTAGGCATTTAACAGCTCTGCCGTTCCCGGTATGTTCTACCGACCTGCGCCTTCGTCTGCAGCTGCTCCAGCTGCTTCTGGTACATGGCGCGCCGGTCTGAGATGATGGCCATCAGGTTGAACCGGATCTCGCCCTCGCTGTACCTGCGGGGACAGCAACACACGGTCACATGAGAGGACAAAGGTACAACAGCTGCGGTGAACGTACTCACACTTAAAACGGGAAAAGTGGCAAAGATAAGCATGCTGTGAGATGCACGCCTGAGATGGTTGACTGATATACTATATCACACGAACCAAAAATCGCTGAATCGAAAATAGTTCCCGATAGTAGGTACGGCATTCGGGCATTCCTCACATATTGGCTGCCACGACACTGTTGCATCGATACTTTTTCACACCGTACCACAAAACATCTCAACAATCAATCACACTCATTCTCACTCGATCGACATGTTCCCCTGAAATCCGACCCATCCTTCCCCGACTGGGCCCTCCGTCTCTCACTTTTGCATGCGTTTCTCGATGATGGGCCGGGCGGCCTGCGTCCAGTCGGCGCCCTCCGGAATGGGCCCGTGGTCGAGCGGCGCCTCCTTGAGCCCGTCCAGCTCGTACAGCCGTCCCGACAGCGGGATGTAGCTGACGAAGTGGTAGACGTCGTCGTCCTTGGTGGCCGCCCGGTTATCCAGCTCGAACAGCGTCTGTCTGACGAATCGCGGGAGGAGAGTTAGATCGGCGGTTATCAGACTGCCTGTCTGACAGAATAGGGGCGGTATGAGACCGGCGTTTAAAGCGCGCATCAGAGAAGATCGACGTGATAGGATAGAAAATCATGGGCTCACGCATTGTTCAAAACAGATGACCCCTTTATCGTTCACGAATCACGAGCGCCGCCAGAGCTGTCACCAAACCGTTGTTATCGCAAATTCCTCTCATCCCACATAAATCACGAACACCCTCATAACACTGCCCATTTCCCTCGACCCCCTCTCTGGCCCTCCTCATATCCTCACCAAGCCCTCCACCGCGAACCCCACTCTGAAGTCCGATTCCCCAGTCTCCCACTCAATAAATGTAAAACTCCCTTACACTCCGCTCACCTGGCGAACGAGTTGTGCACGGTCCTGATGACATCCGAGTTGCTGAGCGCCAGGCCGCGCGTGGCCGGGTCGAAGCCGGCGGTGAAGTCGCGCAGCTCGATTAGCGTCGAGCTCAGCTCCACGTCCGGGTGGTTGGTGTTCATCAGCACGCTGAGAATCGCCTGGGTGGCGCACGCGTTGTTGATCACCTGGTGAGGGGGGCGGTAGAGAGCGGTGTCAGATCACAGATGTCACGTGCGTGGGGTGCGTTCGGCTTCCGACGGATTACGGACGTCAAGGGATCGGTGGGCTAAAATCAGTCCATACTTGGAAGCTAAGCTCTGTCATGTTTCAAACAGGACAGAGCTTCAGTTGTTTGTTTGTCTGATGGGGTTTCCGGGCGCGTCGATGTCGAGATTACAATGAAGCAATTTAACGACACATCGTTCACGCACGAGGATTCACAGACCTGTTTGGCGAAGAAGATGTTGTCGAGCCTGCTGTCCTGGACCGGCGTGCCTTCCACAGTCGAGTCAGGCACCCACTTGAAGAGAAAGACGAGTCCGTGCACAGGCCTGTCCACATCACATTTGTCTGTCTCAGTGTTGTGATATTGTAGTTTGGTTAGGTAGGTATAAACACTCAACTCTGGAGCACCAATTGTAAGCTGCAATGAGATGATAGTACCTAACTGCATAGTGTGGCACCTATGTGTCACCTGCATAATCCTTCATCAAGTTGGAGAAACATTGCCTTAATTCATTATTCAGTCACCACAGAGGTACATGTCCTGATAGATACCTTCCACACCCTTGCAATGCCAATTGCCATGGAATCAGATGATCAGACTGGATCAGATACTTGTTACTGACCTCAACTTGGAGAACATTTCATCATCCATGCTCCATACTTCCTCCACCTGTGCACCTTTCACGCCTGAAATTGTCAGAACAGTCATAACCAACACTTGCAACACACTTAAAATAATTCAGCAAACATTTAATCACTTATCATTAATTTATCTTCACATTCATTTTGAGTTGTCTGGATTGGTTACTGATGAGCAGTGACTCCATGAAGAGTCTCTTTGTAGCATTCAATTGGTTCAGGATGGTTTGGCTTAAAAACAAATTGGACCTTATATGTCCTCTGTCACAATACTTTTAGACTTATTTGGCTTTAAAACAAATTATATCTAATATGTCCTCTATCACAATAGTTTTAGACTAACTTCAAAAGATTGTCCAGCAATATGTGCATTGTGATGATAGAAAACAACCTAGAGCTTAACAGCTCACTAGGTGCCCAGTTGCAAAACATCAAGGTTGACCTCAAGCCCTCAAGGACTATTTTGCTTCTATGAAAGAATAAGTACTGAAGGATTACACGTATTGGATTAAACAAGCCAGGTCAGAAAGCCCATACCAAATTCACGGATGAGTTCAGTGAAGACCCCTGGGTCACTTTCAATCAGACACCAGTTTCCTGCTCCACCATCTGCCATATTTAGCTACTGTGCTGTTTATCTGAAAAAGAAGAAAGACAAGGATCATAACACAATTGTGCAGTGTGCTGCCCGACTGGAAAAAATGCACGCTTTCGTCGAGAACTCGAGCGTAGTTGGGCGTTTGCGCCGAAAATTTTCGGCGTACTTCGGCGTAAATCGCGAAAAAAAACCGTTAGGGGGTGGCACCAACCCCCCTCAGCCGGCGAGGATTAAATGTCTTCGGGAGCTAAACATCTTAAATATCACTTATCTTGTCTCGTGTTCGTCTCAGGGTATTTAAGTCATGTTCAGTGAACCTGATTGTGACTCTCCCACGGCGGGAACAGATCACCGGTCGAGAGTGAGGTTATGGATTGTCGGATTCCCTAGTTCAGATAACGTATGCTATCGTGTGCGTATTGACCGTTGTGATTCCTGTATTTCCGGCGTGTGGTTTGCGAGCGGACGCTGGCAATCGGTCCCGCGTGGCCTGGTATCTGCCCGATCCCATCGGCCGTGCTTGCACCACGCCTGTTGAAGGCCCCGTCAGGCGTCAGTCACCGGTTGGGCACTACTGCTGATCAGAGCCGGGCAACAAAATAAAGGTTACATTATGGAACATGCCAGTGAGTTTGTGAGTCAGGAGATTTTGTGATAGCGAACGCTGGTGCTTGGTCCCGCATGGCCTGCTGATGTCTATTGTCTGCCCGATCCCGTCGACCGTGCCAAGTCTAGAGATGTCAATCGGATACCAACTTTTTGGTATACCGATACCAAACCGACACCAACTCGGTATTTGGTATTTCAATCCTAATGTGTTTGGTATTTTGTTGGTATCATGAACCCTTTGTTGGTATCATGAACCCTCGCTAATGTTTAAGAGGCTAAGAAATCGGTAAAAAGTTGGTATTTTCCTCATGTTCCCAAGTTGGTTTGGTTTCGGTATTTCTCCACGGTTCTGGCTGGTATTTGGTTTGGTATCGGTATTCCGATTTTCCGTAATTGACATTAGTGGTGCCAACAACCGTCTGTAGACAGTAGTCACTGGAAGACAGCCACACACACACGCCAGCCCCCCCCTTGACGAAAAGTGCGTGGCTACAGCCTGCAGCCATCAGTAAGCCTTGAAAATTTTCGGCGCATGAAGCATGGCTTGGTAAAATAATTTTGGCGCATAAACCCTTGCGCCGAAATTTCGGCGCATCACCTCCGTCGAGAACTTCAGCGTAGTGGAGGCATTTTTTCCAGTCGGGGACTGTGCTGGACTCATGTTACCAACCCTGACGACACAGGCAATAGCAGACCTGTGGAAGGGGCGTGATGTGTTCACAGCGCCCTAAACCTGTGATCAGACGAGCGGCAAAATTTTTAAAAACTTTTGGACTCTGGATAGGTGGCAAATGGTGGCAATCAACCGCTCGATCCCCATTCCCCACACCAACACACTACACAGACATGCAGTAGAATGATGATTTGTGGAAAAACGTCTCTGTGACCTTCTTGTTCTGCTTGTCTTTGGCCTGCTACAACCGAATTACCGTAAGGTAAGGTAAACTCAAGGCCATATATGGTGGTAAACCTAAAAAACACAACAAGCCGGGGTAACAAAACCGGCACGCCGTGTTTACACAAGTGCTTATGGGTCAAGGAATCGCCAAAAACATCAGAAAAAAACTATCACACTTTCAATGACGTCAGAGAAATGAGCGATTCCTTTCCTATAAATCCTTCTAACAACTACACAAGGAAGTATACTTTATAAAAAAATGATGAGTTCTTTTTCACATTACTTTTGAACGAATTCTTGAATCAAAAATGCTGAAAGTTCACACAACAAAAACTAAAAGAACTCCAATTTACAGTCATTTTAAGACGTCATCAATCCACGAGATAAATTGATTTAAATAACGCTAATGGGCTGTCTAGTATTGTAATGTTCATGAATAACAGAATATGGTGTTGGTGCAGGCTGATTACGGGTATTTGAGCCAATGATAAGGTAGTACTGGGTCTTACAGCCTATGATTCGCTACCAAAGAAGATTCGTGTCCACGGTTTGCGGTGAGCATCTAAATTTGTGAACACGAAAAAGTGAAACGAGCGACGACCACCATCTCGTGTGGAGCCGGTATACATTATTGTACTTTTTATCCAGAATTGGAGGATCAAAAGCATGCGATAGCATGCTTTTGCATCCGGAAATTCCCATTGGTGGGTCGCTGAAGAAAAGTTCGGCCAAGCCTGTTTGTCAGTGAGTATGTGAGTATGTGAGTATGTGAGTTTGTCCAAGCCTTTTTGGACCTGGAGTCAAAATGGGTGGACCGATCGGGACGAAAGTGGGACCGTTCGACTCGTCTCCGGCGAGGTAAACTTTTGGTGCTGGTCTCGGTTCGCTCGGTGCTTCGTGGCACATGCTATTCCGCTTCAAAGTTTCGGTGACACGAATTTTTTTGTCAAGGCTACAGGTCAACCAGAGGTCACGGGCAAAGCCATACTGGCGGGACACATCGGTAACACCTTGAACCAGTTTCCAGGGGGGTCACCGTCTGCGAGGGGTGCAGGCTGCACGTGCTGGGGTCGGAAAACCGTTTTGACGTGAGGTCCTCTGGCTCAAAGAAATTTTAAGCTATCAACCTCAAAATAGGTTCAATGGTAGTCCCAGGCAAGGCCTCCAGAATAATGCACATTTGGTTGAGCTAAACTCTGTGGTGCATGAGCTATGCACGTGCAAGCCGATTGCACCCCTTCGTACGTTGCCACGCCTGCAGGGTAAACGGCAGCTCTAACTGGTTCAAAACTTGCAGGTCATAAGAAGAATACATTTGATTACGACATTCCGGCGAGATAATATCCGAGGGGTGCAAGCTGCGCGTGCGGGGGGCGGATAACGGTTTTGACGAGTGATCCTCTGATCCCGGGAAACGTCGAGCTAGCGACACAAAAGTCGGTACACTGATAGAACTAGCCACACGCTACAGGGTGTAATGAAAATGACTGCACTGGGGTGCCTGGGACATGAACTACGCACGCGCAGTTAATTAATATCTTACTGTAGGTAGATATCCACACCAATCTCACGTGCTTCCAAACATTTTTGGGATGTTTCGGTTAGTTTCAGGTTCAGTCCAAGCTCAGTCGGCTCGCTCAGTCCGCTCAGTCTGTGTTTCGGTGGTTTGGCCCGGTGTGTGCCCTCAGTCCGTTCCTCCAATTCTGGCCCAAGGCAACGCAAGAGCGCTGCCGGTATCTAGTTTTATTACGGAAGGCGAATGGTGAGTAGTGAGTACCTATTGCATGGGTGTAGAAACGTTTTCAAAGTTGGTGTGGAGTTTACAGCCATTCTCGAAAACTACCCCCATTTTTTGCCAACTCCAAAATCTCATCGGATCTGCATCCATCTCAGGGGGTACTCGGTCGGAAGTTGGGGGAGGCAAACTGCCCCGCTTGCCCCCCCCCCCCCCCCGTGGCGACGCTAATGGTGTTGAAAGCCTGCACTGGCTATAAGAGCTTAGAGGAGGTTTGAGCAACCACTGGAACAGACCCTATCATGCTCAAGCTCGGGTGGAAACGCCAATCAGCTCGTTTATCGCCTTGCCAATCAGCTCGTAACCGGACAAATCTTCGTATGGCATTTCTTCGTCGCGCAATATTTCGTCCGCATTTCTTCGTCCGCAAATCTTCGTCGGCGCATTTATTCGTGTCGCATTACTTCGTCTCGCATTTCTTCGTAGGTGCAAAAATTCGTAGCGCATTTCTTCGTATCCGCATTTCTTCGTCGGCGCATTTCTTCGTCAAGCATTTTTTCGTCCACGCATTTCTTCGTCTACGCAAATCTTCGTCCGCATTTCTTCGTCCACGCAAATCTTCGTCTGCGCATATCTTCGTCCGCAAATCTTCGTCCCCGCAAATCTTCGTCCGCAAATCTTCGTCCGCATTTTTTCGTCCACGCATTTCTTCGTCTACGCAAATCTTCGTCCGCATTTCTTCGTCCACGCAAATCTTCGTCCCCGCAAATCTTCGTCCGCAAATCTTCGTCCGCAAATCTTCGTCCGCAAATTTTCGTCCGCATTTTTCGTCCACGCATTTCTTCGTCCAATCAAATCTTCGTCCGTAAATCTTTGTCTGCGCTATCTACGTCTCCGCAAACATTCGTCCACAAATGTGGTTCAATAAAACCATGAAGAAATATCAGACAGTCAAGTGAATGACGAATTTAATGCATGGAATGGATGATCGAAACTTTTGAAGTCAGGTAGGTGAGGTCAGTCAGGTGAAGCTATTGTATTTGGGAGCCGACCATTGTAACATTTCATATCATTTGTGTCCCGGACATTCTTTTTTTTTCGCGGTCGTTGAATGACAATATAATCTCTTGTACCCTCGCCGGCATAGGTGGCGGAACGGGCCACGGGGAGGGCACCGGGGCACCGTTCCCCTCTTTAATTTTGGCCTTTTAACAGTAGCCCTATGGACGTTGCATGGAAAGCATAATTGGACCAAAAGTCGGCAGTGCCGTGCGTGCCCCCCCCCCCCCTTAATTGAAGATGTTCCGCCGCTACTGCCCGCCGGACCTATTTGTTTTCTACGGTACACGCCGGCCGAGGGGGCGGGTACGACCCCCCCCCCCCCCATCGCCGTTTCGCCACTGGTGGAGCTAGCGCGTCGCGGAAAAAACGAGCGTGTGCGCCGTTACGAGCCGCAGAGATTAATACCCGATTTTAAGGCCTTCTAGGTCAGGGGTCGGCATACGGCCCGCGGGTCGGATCCGGCCAGGTGGGTGACGGTTGGATCCGGCCCGCGACCATCTGACGTCCGGCCCGCGGCTGGTATCAGCGACTTACATCGTGTTCCGGCCCGCTCCCCCCCCCCCCCCCCACACACACACCGCCTGGAAGGTTAAGCGAGTAGACCACGTGAAGCCGCCAAGTGCACGCAGCCAGCAGTCGTTGATGCTGCGCGCAAAAGCTGCTGACCAAATCTTACCGTTGCAAGTTTTGTCTAGAAGTAGAATTAGACAAAAACACCCACAAATGGTGTTTATAAACTCATGAAGTGTGCTAAGGAAGAACTGTTGTGCCAAAACACATTTGAGTCACTTTTATATCGGATTCGATTTATGAAGGAACCGCGGGCCGTAACACGATGTAAGTCGCTGATACCAACCGCGGGCCGGACGTCAGATGGTCGCGGGCCGGATCCAACCGTCACCCACCTGGCCGGATCCGGCCCGCGGGCCGTATGCCGACCCCTGACCTAAAAGGCCTTAAAATCGGGTATTAATCTCTGCGGCTCGTAACGGCGCACACGCTCGTTTTTTTCCGCGACGCGCTAGCTCCACCAGTGGCGAAACGGCGATGGGGGGGGGGGGGGTCGTACCCGCCCCCTCGGCCGGCGTGTACCGTAGAAAACAAATAGGTCCGGCGGGCAGTAGCGGCGGAACATCTTCAATTAAGGGGGGTGGGGCACGGCACTGCCGACTTTTGGTCCAATATGCTTTCCATGCAACGCCCATAGGGCTACGTTTAAAGGCCAAAATTAAAGAGGGAAACCGTGCCCCGGTGCCCTCCCCGTGGCCCGTTCCGCCGCCTATGCCGGCGAGGGTACAAGAGATTACATTGTCATTCAACGACCGCGAAAAAAAGAATGTCCGGGACACAAATGAGGAATGTTACGATTGTCGGCTCCCAAATACAATAGCTTCACCTGACTGACCTCATCTACCTGACTTCAAAAGTTTCGATCATCCATTCCATGCATTAAATTCGTCATTCACTTGACTGTCTGATATTTCTTCATGGTTTTATTGAACCACATTTGTGGACGAATGTTTGCGGAGACGAAGATAGCGCAGACAAAGATTTGCGGACGAAGATTTGATTGGACGAAGAAATGCGTGGACGAAAAATGCGGACGTAAATTTGCGGACGAAGATTTGCGGACGAAGATTTGCGGACGAAAATTTGCGGACGAATATTTGCGGGGACGAAGATTTGCGTGGACGAAGAAATGCGGACGAAGATTTGCGTAGACGAAGAAATGCGTGGACGAAAAAATGCGGACGAAGATTTGCGGACGAAGATTTGCGGTGACGAAGATTTGCGGACGAAGATATGCGCAGACGAAGATTTGCGTGGACGAAGAAATGCGGACGAAGATTTGCGTAGACGAAGAAATGCGTGGACGAAAAAATGCTTGACGAAGAAATGCGCCGACGAAGAAATGCGGATACGAAGAAATGCGCTACGAATTTTTGCACCTACGAAGAAATGCGAGACGAAGTAATGCGACACGAATAAATGCGCCGACGAAGATTTGCGGACGAAGAAATGCGGACGAAGAATTGCGCGACGAAGAAATGCCATACGAAGATTTGTCCTGGAATCCAATCAGCTCATAGACCCGGGAACAGGGGGGGAGCGAGGGCGATTGCCCCCAACTTAAGAGCCGAGGGGGTGACGCCTCCCAACATTCATGCAGCGAGGAAGGATGATGATGATGATGACGACTAAATCATCATCTCTTTTTGATGATGACAACACCGAACAGTAGGTAAGCAGAAAACTGAAGTGGTCGAATTTCGACTCGAAGAGAGGGTCCGTCATTGGAACAAAGCGTAAATACC